CCGTGCAAGCGGTACACGATGGTGGTATTTCATACTTATTAGTGGAAACTTACTCTTGGATACTTCTCCATAGAGCTTCTTCTTCTTTTTTACTCGACCTAAGCATTTATACATGGAGTCCATGTTTATATATACTTTTTCTAGATTATATCTTTTGTCTCTGAAAATGTTTACAGCATTCACGACTTTCTTGCCCACACCTAATAGAATCAAGGAGAGTTTCAAACATACCCAACTGTTAAGAGACATTAGGATAACTTTATCAATATATCTATCAAACTTCCAAGATTACACATTAAAACTAGTATCTTAAGTTCATGTTACTTAAAAACAACCGTATTTGAGTTGTCTGAGCTCAAGCAAACAGTTCATGTAATTGGTCATAATTAAAAAAACACAAAAAAATGCTTCTTATTTTAATATTTCAAATACATGCATAAATCTATGTTTCAACTACATGAAGAAACCTTTCTCATAAGCAATGAAACTAGATAACACATGCATTCTTATTTAATCTATAATTATTGGGGATACATGAAAGAATCATCCAAGTCATTTTAGCTTCTGCCAAGTATCCCACCATGTAACAAAATTTAGCAATCTCTCGAGTGTTTGTTTGTGAGAGGTATATATATGCATTTCCTTTCTGTGTTCAGTAGAAAAACAATAACTAGAGAATTCTTTTTTTTTTTAATCCCAACCCTTCTTTCTTTCTATTCTTTAAGGGAAAATTCCAATTTAGTGCTTGACAATCTAATTTTAACCTACGAGCCCATCAACAATTTAACTAGATTAATTTATGGCAAAAAAAAAAAGGAAATGACCCTTCTCTCAATTACTACATTAAATTGAACAACGAAAATAGTTAACATATAAATTTACATTTTAACTATCAAGAAAATCATTTATATGCCTAATTATATAATTTAAAAAGGTGCATCAACTAGAAGCAAAAGACATTCCTTTTTCACAGTAAAAGGAGTATCTAACAATTTTAACATGAAGGAATAAGCGTACACAACTCTCCATATGTATTTAAGCACATGAAATATTTAAATGGGTTATGAAATATTCATTAAATTTTGTTCACTCCAATTTCCTTCATTTTGTGTCAAAATAATGAACTAAGGGGCTGTTTGTTTTGGGTATTTTGCCTCGGGGAGGGGGTGGAAAGCTGTCATTATGGCAGCTTTCTCCCCAAAACGCCTATTAAAGAGGCGTTTTGGGGAGAAAGCTGCCATAATGGCAGCTTTCCACCCCCTCCCCGAGGCAAAAAACCCAAAACAAACAGCCCCTAAACCAAAACCAAGTTGACGGAGTCATCTCGTGCTTTATGCAGCACCTATGTCTTTTCCTTCTCACTATTGCCTCTCTTTCCATCCCCTAAATAATGCACAAAGTATTTACTGCTTTCGGTATTTAGTGCTCCACTCAGATGAGAACCTAGATTTTGTGTTCACCGGGCATTCTGGATTCACAAAAGACATGAAACATTTCATGACAATTGTATCGAGATCCCGGAAAGATTAAACAACACATGATCACAACATCAACAAGGGGAAAAATTTCACACTTTAATCACTTGAAAAGGTCATAAGATCCCCACACACACTAACTATGCATCTCAAAAACCTGTCTCAAAATGGGTGTCAAAATTTCAACAGGGTGTTCACACAAAAGCCCAACTCCACAAAAAAATCAGCTAATTTCAACAAAAAAGGGCTGAATTAAGAGCATAATCTACATGATCCATATGAAGTACGCAAGAAAAAAGAGCTCAAAGCGGAGAGTTTTTTGATACCAGAGTTCTTGTGCCAGAAAGTATACCACCAGTCGTCATCGAATTCAGCTTTGGGCTCTGCGGTTTTGGGTCCTGGATTCGGTTTGCATTGGGTCGAATCCTTAGCTTTGCGTTTGGGTTTCTTCGACTTTTTCAGAGGAGCCATTGACTGCTGAGAGAGCTCCCAAAGTTTTCCTTCTGTCTTCCAGGTGTTATATGGCCCAGAACTTATCACATGATATGCACGTGTCAGATTTGTGGGCCGATGATACTGTTCTGTTGGGCTACATATTTTGGACCTTAATATATCTGTTAGGCCCATATGTGAGAATGTAATATTTTGGCTAAACTATATCTACTTTAAGCATAACAGCTTTTGTTGTTTGGGTGTGAACTATTTTTGTTGACAGTGTTTTTTGTTGTTATCTCTAGTTTGGACAAATAAAGCTTGTTTCGGATGTAAAATAAAATGTTTTGTTTCAGCAGTGTAGTTTATGACTAGGTGCAAAAAAAATTTACTAAATATACCATATGCTTTCGTTAAGGGGCTGTTTGGTTCGTTTTTTAACTCGGTGGAAAAGTTTTACACCGCCTCCACATCAGATTTTTCGTGGCCACGTAGGATATAAGTTTTTCGTCGGTTTTTTTTCCCATCTTTGGTTCGCTAGGGTTAAAGAAGGGAAACTCGGTGAAAATCGCCGTCACATCAGATTTTTTCTCCCCCCCAATTCCTTCATCAACCTCGTGAAATCGACGATAACTGCAGCCACGTCGGCTTTTTGCCATATAAACAAAAAATTTCCCTTTTTTCCATGCCAACCAAACACAAGAAAAATAAATACATTGGTTTCTCACTATTTTTTTTATGCGAACCAAAGCGAAACAATCTATTTCTTGGAAAAGTTTGAAAAACTCAAAACTTATGTTTTTGTACATGGAAATGCATTTTTCTATATCTAGGAAACGAACCAAACAGCCCCTAAGTAGAAAATATTTAGTTGATTATGACAATTTTTTATTCGTTATATAGTTAACTCTCTCACGATAGTGTCCAACAGCTAAAAGGTTTTGAAGTAGCAAGTTCAAACCATATATAAATTTTTTTGAAAAGAGGGGGAAAATAAAAGTAAGGAAAAGCATTATCAATGATGGAGATGCGGGGTATCGATCCCCGTACCTCTCGCATGCTAAGCGAGCGCTCTACCATCTGAGCTACATCCCCTTGTTTGGGTGGTGCCAGTAACAAATAAAATATTAGCCTCAAAATCAACGAATCCCTCATTAGTCATTGCCCAACCGATCGAGCAGACAAAAAATGGCGAACTCCGATCTCCTCAACAATCTCACACTCCACCCCCTCACCCTCTCCGACGCCGACGATATCCTCCCTTGGGTCTCCGACGACCGAGTAATGCGAGTCCAACCACACGGCCCATGTCCAACCAAAGCCCAAGCCCAACACTTACTCAACTCCTTCATCCTCCCCCTGCACCCTTGGTATACCGCGCCATCTGCGTCAACAACCACCCCCATCAGCTCCGTCGGATTCAAACCAACCCCATCCTCCGATTTCATCGGTCGTAAAGTCTCCATCGGTTATGGCAGATTAAGATGGTGGCGGCCACGGCGATGGGAGAGTCTCCTACGTTGGAGAGGATTAAAGCGACGGTTGAGGTTCGGAACGTAAGGTCGCAGAGATCTGTGGAGAAGGCAGGGGTTTGTTAGGGAGGGTGTTTTGAGGAAGCATGTCGTGTTGAATGGAGAGAGTGTGGATGTTGTGATGTCCAGTTTTTTGAGAGGTTGATGCGGTGGTTGATTGATTTTTGGTGGAGGTGATTAATGTGTGAGTATAGTCTCACATCGAATAAGATAAGAAAGAGTGATGAGTTTAAATAAGAGTTCGGGTTAATATCTAAGGAATCACAGAGTTATTCTTAAATGAATGTCGAGCCTACAGAGAGATCTCTGATACGAGCTTAGTATCATAAATCACATTTGTTGAAATACTTTCTCTGATCCTAGAAATCATGTGGATTTTTTAGGTTGGCAAGATGCGTTGAGTTGAAAGCGCATGTTGGTAATTGTGAATGTAGTTCAACATGAGAAAAACTAAGAATGGGATGCGGGACATAAAATAAGAGTTTGGGTAGTTTTAAGCTTTAAGTTAATTTGGTTTCTAATCTAGTCCCTGTGTCTTTCATTTTTCATGGATATAATTAAAAAATGTTAATAGATGTGATTGGAAATATGATTGGAGGCAATTCACACTTTCTTTTCTTGATAACAAATTTCTCACCTATTCTGGGCTAACATTCAGGATTGATTTTGGGCTTGGCTTTGATATCTATTCGATATACGAATTCCATAGCATGTTTTCGTACGGACCGCATCCGACCTCATCCACGCTCTCAGATTCATAAAAATAGGGACGCATTGATCACAACATGCCTCTTTAGGCTCAAGCAGTAGTTAGCATGTCATAACAAAAACTGACCCATCACCTAATAATTCATCAACCTATACATTAACCGATCCAGTTGATATTAAGCTTTCTATTTCCATTCTACTGGAGATGATCATCACATCAGAGACTGGATTAATGCAAGAAAGAAATACGTACATGCATGTATGCCAACAAAAATGCTAAAGTGAACAACCACGCGATCTCCTCCACTGTGCCCTGAAACTACTTTCTCAGCCGCAATCATTTATCATTTAGTTGATGATTTTGATTCGCCTTGAACAATAAGTGTAGATTTCAAAATGAATAATAATTGTCTAGAGTCTTTTAAGAATCATGGTGATGGAAAAAGTAGACTCACCCCAGTTCAGAGGATCCAAATATTCTTGTATATATCACACCTCGACTGCGATAGTTAAAAAAATCAAAGTTGAACTACTACTTTTTATCAGTAAAGCGAAATCATTTATGTAATTATTCATGGCCAAATTAAAAATATTTAAATGTTGTAAATAGATGCCTCAAAATTAACAATATCCCATATGGCATTCACTTATCTACCTATCCAAAGTATCACATAACAAAGAATACTAAAGCGCAACATTTTAAAACTTTAGTATATTTAAGTGAGACCATTTACTTATATGACAAAATTGAGTAAACAATAGGGAGCCAAAATACTATATTTTAAAACTTTTAGACAGTTATCTACAAATTTTAAATGCTTTTGAGGCATTGACTTATTCAGTTTTAAATAGAAACCCCTTTAAGTGCTCGTGAAACTATAGGAAGTGCAATTAAGCCAATGCTTAATATTTTAAATGGATTGTGTTAATCATAGGGAAATGTAGCGTATCATCAATCAAATCTTGCCTTGGTATGCTTACATACGGTAGGTCTACATGAAGACAAAGAACACAACAATTTAAATAAAGCTCAACTTAAAAAGAGGTACACGAAACGTCGGTTATGCGTACACGAGTATCTTAATGATACTAGATTAATCAACAATGACCACCACACATCAGTAGCAGATACATAATGAAAAACAACATGATTATACTAAGCACACAGCTAATTACCTCATCAAACTCCACCAAGTTGTTTGATTAGACCAACTAAACATGACATCAACAACCATAATATTGAAGTATATCATATCCAAGGAAACATATAATATCAGTACATGAGATACACGGGCAAAGCTATATATTTCCCACTCTCAAACAGTAGAAGAAAGATTTAGACCAAGTATACTGATTAGTAAAGGAACCGGACAACCATTTTAATCAAAATCCATACATCACTCTCTCAAGCCAAAAACTGTGGAGGATCCCACCAGCAAAAAACATAACACAACAACATTTTCTTTCTGATCCAATTTGATTGAAATGAAACCAGAAACAACCCAATAGAATTTACAACATGTAGAGATATAACAAAACACGCTCACCTAAGGGGCTGATCTCTAATTTCTTTCAGCCATCGGAAACAAAAAATAAGTTGAGAGGAGCTCGTGCTAGAAAGTAGCAGGGCCTTGAGCCAGCAAGCAGTCTTCCATCCCTTCATCGAATTGCATCTCTTGGTGACGGCACTCCAGACTGCAAAAGGCTTTCTCTCCTCTGAAAAATAGAGGATAAACTACCATGATTTAGAATTTGGGAGAAAATTAATTATAAGCTTCAAGAATGGTAAAAGACAGTTTATTGCTAACTACTATCACAATTTAGTAAAAATCTCAACTAAATTAATCCAATCGCGAGAGGGAGATGCAAAATTTGGTTACTTTATACGTTTATCCTTGTTAATTGACAGAAAACTAAGATATGTGAACCATCAAGAAACCAAAATTCACTGCCACGAATAAATTCAGTCGTAATGAGGTAAATTAACTAATTCTATTCAGTATAATTCGCTAGAATCAACTTGAAAAGATTTAACATCAAGCACACCCGTCCCGGTTCCATGCCAATACCGAAAGCTCAATCAAAACTAATTACACAAGGAAAAAAATCAGTAAAAATATTGAAATCTAACCTGTACATAAAAATGTCCTTCCCCTGATCCAGCCTCTTCTTGCAAGCACAGCAACAAGTAAGAAAACCCTCCGACACCCGACTCTCCTTCCTCGGAGTAACAGCAGCAAATCCATTACCACAGCTCTCAACAACACAATTGTCATATATATGTACAGTCCTCGGATTAGGTCCATGAGCAATCACACAAGTATAATCCTCGGACATCTCCATCTCGCTAGCCGATATACATCCAGATGCCAAATTGTTCGGCTCGGTCGAATTAGCTCTCTGCATCGGAGAAAACATAGCTAATTGTGCTTCCTTGTTCTTGACCCCAAACTCAATAGGAGACTGTAATGGCTCAACCAAACCATTGGGGGATTTCGCGGGTATTTGGATTTTGAGCTGTGATCCAAAGAGGACCATTCGGGCATCAGGTTTTGAGGGTTTCTTCAATGCGTCAACAATGCCAAGCCCAACTGGCTGATGATGGAGTTTGGCCTCTTGGGTGGATTCAACAAGGGGTTTTCTCGGCTTTTTATCGGAGAAGAAGGGGTTAGAGGTTGGAGTGAATGGTTTGGTTTCGAGAATGGAGGTCGGGCTTTTTGCAGCATCAATGTCTGAAAAGCCCTTTGGGACGAAGCCCACAAAGAGTCTTGGTGACAAAGGGAAGAGAGGTGAGCTGGGGGGTTTACTGCAATTTCCAGTAGGAGAGGGAAGAGAGAAGGGATCAGCCATTAGGCCTTGCTTGCTGCTCACAGCCGGCCTCGAGCTCTTCTTCAGCATGCTAGTTACCAATGAGTCGCTCAACTCAGAATCTCTGAGAGAAAGAGAAGAGACTATTAAGTCTTACAATAAAGAACAAAAAGAGACATAAAACTAAAAGGGGAAGAAAAAGATAAAAGAGCAAGAGGGAAGAGAATGATTCTTCCCTCTGCCCTTTCGCGGTACATACTTTTTCTAAGTTAATTATTAAGATTTATGTTAAGACAAGTTGTAGCAACTATTAGATTTTTGAAGACAGGAAGAGAATATTATTAAGCAATAAATTAATTTAAGAAAAAAGAGCTCGTGTGGTCTGATTTTGGGATGCACCTCTGAGAAAATGGAACCAAAGCTGAATGCTTTCCCTTTTTGTAGCACTCCCCTCTCCTTCAAAGAAAACCCAACCAAAAAATAATAATTTTCTCCCCAGAAAAATGAGATTTTTGCAAACACAACCTAACAACAACAAAAATCTCTCACTTCTAGGACAATCACTCTGTTGTTCCTTCAAAGGGGCGATCTTCCTCAAGCCTAAACACACAGACTACCAAAAACCCAGATCAAGACTAAGCATATCTACCAATACAAAATACCAAAAAAAAAAAAAAAACTCCCTTTTGACGATCAAGAACAAAACTTTTCCCACATGCAAACAGACCCAAAACTTCACTAATCAAATACCCACAACAAATCAAACTAACAAGTTCCTAAAGCAAATAAGGACCCCTCTAAAACATGATCAAGATCAGTCCTTTCCTCTCCTCCCCGTCTTCCTTAATCTCTCAAAGTGCATGAAAAGAAGATTAAAAAAGTACAGAAAAGGAGTCAGCAATGGAGTCGAGACGAAGACGACGGGGCGAGAGGGGGACTCATTTAAAGAGGTGATCGGTGTTGTTCGGTTCGGTTCGATTTCCTTTTGGTTCGGTTCAATTTGGTAGTTATCGCCAAACCCGCCAGAGAACTAGAGCGGTTTTGTAACGAAAAGACAGAAAAGGGTCTTGATCGTTAACAGTAAATTTGGCTGATTTGGTAAATTTTGATTCTCTTGCTGAGTGTATCATTTCACTGTCCCATCAACTGTATCAGGGAGTTTTCTGACAGTTTTTGAGATACGTTAATACCGTATTCTGTGCTAATCTCACCGACGGTGAGCGTAAACGAATTTTTGCCGTGAGTGACCGTAAACGAACTTTTGCCGTTTTGGAAGGGACAGGTGGCAGAGGATCAGAGAGCTGACTACACCGTGGCTTAACTAGAAGTATAAATAAATCTTTTAAAACCAACGGCATGTTTGAGAGCTATTTAGCATTTTTTATCAAGTTTTAGTCGGTTTAAGGGCTGTTCGCTTCCAAAAAAAACTGGGAAATCAAAGAATTGGAAACCTATTTCCCATAATAATTTTTTTGAGGCTGTTTGGTTGGCTTAAAAAAGAAGAAAACTATAAAATAGGAGATGAGATGAGATGAGTTGTCACCTTATTATTGGATGTTGTGAGTGATTTTTAAAAAAACTTGTTTTGAGATTGTTTTGTTGGTTAAAAAAATAAGGAAATGAATTGGAGGTATATTATCGGATGATGTTTTGAGGTTATTTGTGTTTGGTTCATTTTTTAAAATAAGAAAATAGATAGTAAGATAACCATAAATCACAACAATATACACAAAAATCACAACAATTCACAGCCTGTTGTATATACTGAATTAGCCACATATATACACGAAATTTCAACCATATATATACACGAAAATCAATCCACACAAGCAACAATTTCGAATAATCTAACCAAATATATTCATGAGAAGCATAATTGTTGTGCGTAGCGGAAATTTCGGCAGCACCTCGGCGTAACAAGATAGTAAGATCACAATAGGAATTCCTGTTTCACCAAGGAAACAAGAACCAAAAGTAATATATCTCAACAAAGTGGGATATCAGTTCTTCCTCTCATCAGTTCTAGGACTGACTTGTCGAGGGAACATAAATAAGCTATTACAAATCATAAAAACGAGACAAACTAATTTTACGTGGTTCGGCAAATTACCTACGTCCACGGGGCAATGGGGGGGGAGATCTACTATTAGAGAGAGAAAATACAACTAGGATTTACAATCACACAAATTAAACCCTCAAACAATCTCTCAAATCCCTCACAAAATTCTCCATCAATGGATGCCCCAAAACCCTAAAAAGGACTGCGTTTTTCCACTGCTGCGTTTTCTCCAAGCACAACCGCAAAATCAACTGCAGTTTCCCTTTGCCTTTCACCTGCCCTTAGGGGTGCCAAACCGTATCCGTATCCGAGGAATTATCCGTAACCGTATCCGTTAGGATACGAATATGGTTACTCAAATCTATTACCGATAGGATATGGTTGCGGATATGATTTTGTAGTGAAATATCCGTATCCGTATCCGAAAATATCCGAATACATATTGGTAATACTCTTACGATAGTTTCGATTCTTAGATTATGGATTTGTGGTTAATTTTGATGATCAAGGTGTCCAATCTAAGCTTTGTGGTTAATTTTGATGATCAAGGTGTCCAATCTAAGCTTTTCAATCATAATGAACATATTAACGAACTCTTTTTGTATCACATGACTGTATTTTTCTGAATACTATCTAGTTTTCTCATATCCTTTTTGTATCCGCATGCATATCCGTTTATATATCTGCATCTATATCCGTAACCGTATCCGATTTTGGCGGATATGGATATGAATTTTTCTTACCGACATATATCTGTATCCGTATCCGTATCCGAGATGGGTAAGCGGATATGGATATGGTAAGTGCTATATCCGAGCCGTATCCGCTCCGTTAACACCCCTACCTGCCCTCTTTGCACGCCCTACCTAGGGCACGACTGCAAAGTTATATATACAGCAGAAATTCGGGTGGGCCTTGTGAGTTGTCCGTTGGATGTGGCTTTGCTTTCGGTCCTTGTGAGTTGTCCGCTGGCCTCTCAAAAGATCACAAGCGTGGGAGTGGCCCTACGTGACTCCACCTTCACAATTCTCCACCTCGGTGAAGTTTCTCAAAACTGGGCCGACACCTAAGCAACCAAATGTCCCACTTGTTGTGTCCAGTACGCCGTGAAACAATTCACGACAACAGACTCAATTCACAACACGTCGGGAACCCGAATGAGAGTCCAAACAATCTCACCCCCATCAAAATCAACTAATCCAAACCGGTTGCATCTGAAAGACTGCCTACGTATCCTCTTGTCCAAGGAATCAAGCTGAACGTAGTTCACCCAAATGGTCGTCAACGGCCTCAACAATCAAGAATGTGAAACAAGTTTCGATAATGATCAAACTTGTTGCCCGGAACCACCTTAGTGAGCATATCCGCCGGATTATCCTTCGTGTGAACCTTCACAAGTTCCACATCACCATCTTCAAGAACATCTCGAACGATATGATAACAAATGTCAATGTGTTCCGTCCTCACTTGAAAAACTTGATTCTTAGCCAAATAGATAGCACTCATACTATCATAATGAATAGTGATGGACCGTTGTGATATATCAAGTTCCTCCAAAAGTCATCGAAGCCAAATAGCCTCCTTCACAGCCTCTGTTATTGCCATATACTCTACCTCCATCGTAGACAAAGTCACTGTAGACTATATGGTGCATCTCCAACACATCGACGCACGGGTCAAAGTAAATACATACCCCGTCGTAGACCGGTATTTATCCAAATCCCCGGCATAATTCGAATCAACATAACCAATGCATAACTGCTCACCTATAGTGTCCCACTCATAAACCAAACTAACATTGAGCATACCTCGAATGTACCTCAAAATCCATCTCACGGTGTTCCAATGACCCACTCCTGGATCGTGCATATATCTCGAAACCATGCTCACCGCCTGTGATAAATCCGGCCTCGTACATACCATCACATACATCAAGGTCCCAACCACGCTCGCATATGGAGTCTTCGACATCAACTCTCGATCTTCAACTATCTTCGGTGAAAGATCAGGTGAAAGATCAGCTGAAAGCTTCAAATGGGCTCCCAATGGTACACTAATTGGCTTTGTATCATGCTAACATAAAATTGTTGTAGAACCTTCTTCACATAAGCCACCTGTGTCAAACAAATTCTGCCTTTCTTCTTGTCTCTGTCGATCTTCATCCCTAAAATATGCTTCGTCTCACCCAAATCCTTCATCTCAAACTCCTTTTGAAAGCTGTGCCTTTAACTCATCTATAGCAGATCTGGAAATAGAGGCAACCAACATGTCATCGATATAAAGCAACAAATAGATGTACGCACCTTCTTTCAACTTGTGAAAATATACGCAAGGATCAAACCGGCTCTGAGTGTACGAATGACCAATCATAAAACCATCGAATCGACTATACTACTATCGTGGAGACTGCTTCAAATCGTATAGTGATTTTTTTAATCTACAAACCAATTTTCCCTTCCATGTAGCTCAGAATCCCAATGGCTGAGTCATATATATTTATTCATCAATATCACCATGAAGAAATGTCGTCTTCACATCCAATTGATCTAACTCCAAACCATATTGTGCCATCAAATATAGCAAAATCCGAATCGAATAATGCTTTATCACCGGAGAGAAAACCTTATTATAATATATTCATTCCTCCTGTGCATAACCCTTCATAACCAACCTAGCATTGAACCTCAATAGAGTACCCTTAATGCCCTCCTTCTTCGTGTATACCCACTTGCAACCAATTGCTTTCTGCCCCTTTGGAAGCCCAACAAGCTCCCACGTATCATTCTTGTGAAGAGACTCCATCTCTTCCTGCATAGCCACCTGTCACGAATCAGCCTCCGAACTCTGCTCGGCCTCTTTGAATGTAGTAGGCACCATCTCATCGATACTCTCCACCGGAAGTGCATATGCAACTACTGTATCGGTATACTATGCTGGCATTCGTATGTCTCTCATCTGTCTCCGAACCGTAATAGAATCCTGAACCTGAGCCGTCGGTCACTGATCTTGCACATCAGTATCTGTATCCTCCGTGTTACCGTTGTGCATATCAGTCGGCACTCTAATGGATACTGCACCATCTGGATACTGTGGAGCTGTATCGATCTCCACCACCTGTGATATCTCCTCTGTCGGGTCGCTCTCCACCTGATGAGAACTGAGAAGCTTTAAGATAGAAGCCTCATCGAATGTGACGTCCCTACTCAGCACAATCTTTCTATCAACTGGATCACATAGCTTGTATCCATCGATATCACGCTTGAATCCTACAAATATGACCTTCCTAGCTCGAGATTCCAATTTATTTGTTCTTACACGATAAAATGCAGGGCACCCGAATACCTTGAACTGGTCATAATCTCATGCTGGCTCTCCCGACCACATCTCTATAGGGGTCTTCCCCTCAAACGTAGATGAAGGCAGCCTATTAATAAGGTGGCTCGCATATGTAAGTGCCTCAGCCTAAAAGATCTTCTTCAAACCACTCTGTGATAATAAATATCGAACCTTTTTCAACAAAGACCAATTTAACCTCTCTGCCACCCCCATTCTACTACGGTATATGACTAACCGTGAAGTGTCTCTCTATACCCTCGTCTCGACATAGCTGCTGAAAGGGGTCTGAAGTATATTCACCACCGTTGTCGGATCGCAACGTCTTGATCTTTCTCCCAGTCTGCAGTTCCAATCTCCTCTTCCACTCCACGAATATATCTAGGACTTCACTCTTCTTTGTCATAATGTACACCCAACATCGTATAGAATAGTCATCAATGAACGTGACGAATCAATGTCGACCACCAAGTGATGCAGTCTTGGTGGGACCCTAAACGTCTGTGTGCACATAGTCCAGGATGCCCC